AGTTGAAGATAAAAATGTACTTCAGATTTTAGAAATAATTCCTTGAAAATTTAGAAAAAATATCAGTAAAATCTTAGATCTTAGAGTAGATTTAAACATGTTAAAATATGTAAAGACTACATTTCTATGGTATATGATCTGTATATTGCATTGAGTATACACTTGAGATCCATTTGATCTCATTAATCAATATTACCCCAGAGAATTTAATTTAAAAAAAATTCTTTTTATCCTTGCCAGAGGACTTTTTTTGTTTGTTTGTTTGTTTTTTGCATTTATCTTTAGATAGAGTGGGAGGGAGAGAGGGAGGAAGAGAGAGAGAGAGGAACATCGATGTGAGAGAGACACATCAACTGGTTGCCACCCACACGACCCCAACCAGAGCTGGGGACAAACTGCAACTGGGGTACGTGCCCTTAGTGGGAACCAAACCCGGGAGTCTCTGGTCCATGGGCTGATGCTCTAACCGCTGAGCCAAACTGGCCAAGGCTAAAAAAAAATTTTTTTTAATACATGAAGATAGTCAAATTATGCTCAACAATTCTAAAAATGTATGCAGATGTAGTTGTAAAAAAAAAAAAATGAGAGTAATATTTTTTAAATTGGTATAATTGGGAAATACCAGTTTCAAATATATAGTTGTCCCATTTTTAAGAAAAATGTAATTTCCCAAAACTATGAAGTCTGATAAGCTAACATCAATAACCATAAATATTTCATAATGTATTATTAATAAAAATCTGCATGGATTCATTTAAAAATAAATTACAAATAAGTATGACTAGATTCTTCTATTAGTCCTTATTCTCATCATTGTAATTATGTCTTAAATTATACAGTTCACATACTTAGGAAAGGGGTGACTATAAAAATGGATAATATTCAAGAATATCCTGAGAAGCCCTGGCCAGTTTGGCTCAGCAATTAGAGCGTCAGCCTGCAGACCAAAGGGTCCCCGGTTCAATTCCATTGTAGTTTGATCCCCAGTCCTGGTTGGAGTTGTGAAGGAGGCATCAGATCAGTGTCTTTCTCACATTGATGTTTCTCTCTCTTTTTCTCCCCCTTCCTCCCATTCTATCTGAAAATCAATGGGAAAATATCCTCAGGTGAGAATTAAAAAAAAAAAAGAATATCCTGAGAAGATAGAACAATGGTCCTAAATAAAAGCTAGGACCTTTCATTGTAATTTCTGTAAAAGTCTGTATATAGATTCAAAAGATCAATAAATATAATCCAGAGTAGAGACCTAACATACCACAGTTCTTATAAAAACAAACAAAACACTTTGTATGTTAAATAACCTTGTGCAAATTCAACATGCAGAAAAATATAATGTGAATGACCAAAAATAAAGATAATTCAAGAATTTTACAATATGTTATTGAAAGTAGTACTCCAGTCATGAGTAATAATGATTTCAAAACTTTAAATCAGCCCTGGCCAGTTTGGCTTAGTGGTTAGAGCATTGGCCCACTGTCCGGAGACACGGGGGTTTGGTTCCCACTAAGGGCACGTACCTTGGTTGCAGTTTGTCCCCGGCCCTGGTTGGGGTCGTGTGGGTGGCAGCCAGTTGATGTGTCTCTTTCACATTGATGCTTCTCTCTCTCTCTCTTCCGCCCTCTCTCCCTCCTGCTCTATCTGAAGATGAATGCAGAAATGTCCTCAGGTGTGGATTAAAAAAAAAAACAACTTTAAATCATACCAAACAAATTTACAGTGCTGGGAATAAAAAATAAAATTAATTAATACACTGTCCCTTTTTTAGGGACTCACAGTCCAAGTGGGAAAACAGACACAGATATGTGTTTGGAGCATTATTGCTAATTCTTGTCATTTTATTTTGAATGATGCCATCATTATTTAGTATTTAAAATAATGTATTATAATATGCCAGGCCCTGTCTTTGAAAAATACAAATTAGTATCCCCATTTTATAAATGGAACCACTGGATTGAGATTTAAAAACAAAACAACAGCAGCAACAAAAACCTCACCCGCAGACAAATACATGGTAAGTGTTAAAAATAATAAAGGAACATAGAACTGTCTGCCTTGGAATTACTGCTCTTAAAATAACAGTATATAAAGATCAGTATTTATTAAAGTCTGTCCTGCTGAATCAATGATTTGTGGGATATTAAGTATTACACACCCAAGAAAAAGATTCTGTAGTCAAATAATTTTGAGCAAGACTAGGTTTCTTTACTATAAAGCCTTTCCAAGACTTTAATATTCTGATATTCATTGTGAATATTTTCAAATGCATTTGACCACAGTTTCTTTCTTTATTTTTTATTCACCGAGAATTATGAGGAGCTAGTGTTCCATGAAACACCCATTAGGAAACTCTGTCACTCCAGAAGACTAAGAATAATCTAATTGTCGAGAACTAGAAATATTCAACAAGGAGACAAAAGGGCCTTAAAGGAGATGTGATAGCTGTCTTTAAATATTTCTTATCAAAAAAAGGACATAGTATTTCACCAAAGGGAAGATCTAGATCTAATCGACAGAAGCTAACAGAGATGGATTTCACCTCAATATAACATTTCAATAAGAGTTCAAAGAAAAGATGAAACCAGTCCAGCTCCTGTATAAGGAGCTACCCGAGCCATTTTATCATTGGGTGAAAGGTCTGAGAACTTGCGAAGCTCCCTGCTTTACTCTTCTTCTATTTGGTGGTTCATTCAACTGAGATTTCCATACATTTAGTATTTCAGATTCTCTGTTCATTTTTGTACCATTTTTTAAATTATTTTTATTAATTTGTTTTTGTTACAAATGTTTCTGCTTTTCCCCCCATTGACACCCTCTTCCCCATCCCTTCCGCCTCTTCCCCAGCTTTGTTGTCTATGTCCATTGGTTATGCATACATGCATATAAGTTGTGTGGTTTATCTCTTCCCCCTCAACACCTCCTCTTCTGGGGTTTGTCAGTCTGTACCCCACCTCTATGTCTCTGGGTCAATTTTGTTCATCAGTTTGTTTAGTTCACTATATTCCACAAATAAGTGAAATCATGTGATATTTGTCTTTCAGATCAGCTTGTTTTGCTTGGCATAATACTCTCCAGGTCTCTCCATGTCATCTCAAAGGATAAGAGATGTTTCTTTCTTACAGCTGCATAGTATTCCATTGTGTACATGTATCACAGCTTTTTTATTCATTTTAAATTAAACATTTTAGAAACAGAAGACACCGGTAAATTGTCAGATCTATTGCAAATACGATGTCTTACATTAAAACACACATAATCTTCTATTTAGATTTTCCACTTCTTTGTGATTCAGTCTAGAAAGGTTATATATTTCTAAGAACTCGTCCATTTCTTCTAGGTTATTGAATTTGGTTGCATATAGTCTTTCATAACATTACTGTGAGATCCTTAGTATTTCTGTGGTATCCATTGTAATTTCTGCATATTTCTGATTTTGAGACTTTTCTCATTTTTTTCTTAGTGAATCTAGCCAGAGTTTTGTCAATTTTATTAATCTTTTAAAGAACCAGCTCTTTGTTGCATTGATTTTTTTTTGTATTGTCTTTTGTTCTCTATTTCCTTTCATTCTGCTCTAATTTATATTATTCCCTTTCTTCTGCTGATGTTGGACTGCATTTGTTCTTCTTTTTCTTTTATTTTTTTTTAAGATGTAATGTCAGGTTGTTTATTTGTTTTTGTTTTGTGTGTGTGTGTGTGTGTGTGTGTGTGTGTGTGTGTTTTTGTTTTTTTTTTGCTATTTGGGATAGGCCTCTAATGACATAAACTTTCCTCTTTTTATATTATTTTATTTTATTTTATTTTATTTTTATCCTCGCCCGAGGACATTTTTCCATTTTCTGTTCAGACAGAGTAGGAGGAAGAGAGAGAGAGACAGAGAGAGAGAGAGAGAGAGAGAGAGAGAAACATCGACATGAATGGGACACATTGAGTGGCTGCCACCCACATGACCAACCAGGGCCGGGGGCAAACTGCAACTGAGGTACGTACCCTCAGTGGGAACTGAACTGGGGTCTGTCTGGACCATAGGCCAATGCTCTAACCACTGAGCAAAACCAGCCAGGGCTAAACTTTCCTCTTATTACCACTTTTGCTGCATCCCAAGAGTTTTGATATGTCATGTTGTCATTTTTATTTGTCTCTATGTATCGTTTGCTCTCTCCTTTCATTCTTCTTTGACCCAAAGTAATTAAAAAAAAAAAAAAAAAAAAAACTCATAAACACAGACAACAATATGGTGGTTATTCTAAGGAAAGGGGGTGTGAGAAGGAAGGTAGTATAGAGTAAAATGGGTGAAATATATGATGAGAGAAGGAGATTTGACTTTGGATGGTAAATGCACAATACAGATGATGTATTATAGCATTGTACACTTGAAACCTATATAATTTTATTAACTAATGTCACCCCAATAAATTAATTTAAAAAACACACACATAATACACATACAATTTATACTTAATGCCAATGAAAACCAAAGTTGCTTGTCTCTAATTTAAAAAACACCATGTGATTTAAATCATCTTATTGTGAAGTTTGTGTGTGCAAACAAAATGGAAGCTTTCTCACCTACAGAATGACACAAGAGGCCTGAAAAGCACATGTGGGAGAAGCATGAGACAATGTAGTACACTGAGGCCGGTGCCAGGAGTAGAAAAGGGAAAAGCCTTGGAATGTAGAAGACACTTTTCAGGTCAATTCCTCTTCATGTGTCTGTACCTGGTCTTCAATGACATTACACTCAAAGAAAACGTGATTTGATAGATCACATGGGTTATTAGTGGATTTTACTAAAATAAGTTAGATATGGCCCAGCTGCCCAGGTTGTGGGCTCGATTCCCAGTCGGGGGTATATAGGAGGCAGGCAATGGATGTTTCTCTCTCACATGGATGCTTCTACCTCTCTCTCTCTCTCTCTCTCTCTCTCTCTCTCCCTTTCTCTCTCTCTCTAAAACATAAATAATGAAATAAAATAAAATAAAATGAGTTAGATGAAAAACCCCTACCTATTCGCATATTCCTTGATGATCTGATATATGCTAATCTTAATTGTTTCATTTTCAAACCGATTGTTGCTCCGGTCCTTGTATATCCGGAATTCAGCCGCTGTAACTGCTTCTCCATGAGGAATTTGAGTAAGATCAAACCGGAATTCTTTATAATGCCTTCGCTGGTGAGAAAAATCTTTGTCTCTTTCAACTGGAAAAGAACAAGAAAAAAAGGAGAGGAAAAAAGTGAGCCCTTTATAAAATATGCAGATTAATGGTAAATTTCCCAGCTTTGTAATTAAAACAAACAAGCAGGATATTATAAAACTGGGAAAACACTAAAACCACTGACTCATATGTGTTTCTAATTGAAGGAAACTCCACAAACCAATGACCTTTAGTTCAAAAGCAATATAACCTCTGTGGTTTTATACAAATTCCTGGATCCTAAATAGAAAGGCTATCCAAAATGTTTCTTACAAGTGAAGTTTTCAAAGTGATTACCAGTATGTATCCTGTACCAGAACACAGGGGGTTCAGACAGGAATTAAGAATATGTTATAGAAAGTTCCAGAGTTCCAGGTGAAGTCAGCGGTGAGAATTAGCACAGCCAAGGGAGGAAACTAGGAAGAAAGAGAAATTGCAGGCACATAAGAACAGTGTTGATGACGTTTTAGAGGTCAAGTACATAAAACAAATTCATTTTCAGAATAAAGACTATTTCTAAAATGTTTTCCATGGAAGAGTTTTTCTTCTCTGTTCAGCAAATGAAATGTTTTCGTTTGTTTTTTTAGTGTACTTTCATTAGTTCTTATAAGGATGTTTAGCACAACCTCCGTAACTGTGGTCCAGCATAAAACCTCCCTAAGAACTTTTTCCGCTCTTCCTCAGAACTGAGAGGGGGAGATATTTTCCTCTTTCAGCAACTTTCCTATCAAATAAAATCAGAGAACATTGCCTCTTGAGAATATTAAGGAATGTTGAAGAAATCAGCAGGGTAGGTGTTCAGCATATTATTTATCTGGCTTTGGAAAAGGTTTGTTATTTGATACAGTCTATATCTACTTGGTACCAAACACTTTCTTACAAAACTACCTATTCAAAGTGTTCATATTTAGTGATGCAATATCATTTGAAGGAATTAAATTTTTCAGTATTAGTAAGTTTCTCAAAATCTCAGTTATGTAGGATAATATATATAGAATAAGATTACAAGTACACTGTAAAATACTCTATGTAAGAGGTCTCACAATTATAACCTGCAATGATTTTTTAAAATGTTTCCAGTGACATGTTTTATTTCTAAAACTTTGGCCTAAAATTTTTTTTTTAAATATATGAGTTGTATAAATAAATTCACCAAGTTCAAAAATTGGATTAAGATATAAAAATATCCTTAGGAAGTTAACTGAAATATGTCAATACTGCGAAAAGTATATGAAATTTAGGATCCTAACATAGAGAAAGGGTTAAGATTAAGAAATAGAGAAGAGGGTCACGATCATCCAGAAATGACTGTAGGAGCAGAGGCTGATAGACCTCGTGTCCCAGTGCCAGATGGGTTCCACATCTGGGAGGAAGCTCAGGACAAAGGCACCCACAATTCTTTGCCTTCAGCATCCAAAATAATCTCTGATTTACTTTCCCCAGAAGAGTAGGCAGTGGTTTAGGAGCACGAGGAGCTCACCCCCACCCCCACCACAGATACCTAAGCCAGCAAAGAGAAAATTATAAACTATACCTAGAGGTATCTTTGTACTATGGAGCTTGGTGCTCTTGGGCTGTCTGGCTTACACTCACACAAACTCACATGACTCATAAAGTTTTGTTTTCTAAAAACATCATTATCTTGGTCCTAAGAGAAATCCATTCCCATGGAGATTATGTATCAACTGTTCCTTAAATAAGAAAAATACCTTCATTTTTAGAATCTGTTTTGGTCCATAATTTAAACCTCTTTTCGGCGTAAACTTCTTCTGACAACAGCAGAGATGGCCATGAACTTGGCTCCTTCGTCTCATTTGTCTGTTACCCTGACTGAGCCATTTGAGAGGGAAAGTGTAAGGGAAAAAAATACCTAGAAACTGGGTATCTAGCCACTGAAAGCTCATGTATGAATATTAAAACTTTTGTTTACAGGGACTAAATTTAATTCGATGTAAATTTGTTCTTTTCTGATCTTAATTTAAATAAAGTAGATGACATTATGAAACAGTTATGTTTTATATGAAACAGCTTTAAATAGCTCTTATTTAGATGTCAGATCCTGTTCTAAGTATGTTTACATATTAACATATACCTTTCATAATAGCCTATGAGGCAAGTTCCATCAATATCCTCACTTTGAAGATGAAGAAACTGAGGAGGCATAGAGAATAAATTCCTCACCAAAAAAAGTTTGAACCCAAGCATTTGATGCCACCAGGCTCCAGTTCTTAAATGCCAAATATGCTACTTCTGCTTATAGACTACTTATTACTTTGTCCTAATTTATGAAGTATTTATGCTTTAATAAAGATCTAAAACCTCACATTCACAAGTTCAAAATCCAAAATGCTCTGAAAATGAAAAGTTTGGCTTCAAGTTCATTTGGCAGAAAAGCTGGAAATTAACTGATTTGAGGTCATTTAAAGTTTCTATTTATTTCACTTTAATATGAATATTTATTGCTTTGCAGCAGAAATGTTCATTTGTTCGCTGAAGTGGCAGTGTCCCAGCTCTACTTGAGGAGTTCCATACTTGAAGATACATATACCAACCAGCCATTCAGAAATACACTTTCTCTATTCTAAAAGTCAATATTCAAAATCCTAAGTGGTAACAATTATTACCCAGTTTTTCATTAGCAATCAGTTTTATATTTGAAATTTAGACCAAAATAACCATAGTCCTGGAAATAAGGGCTGAGACGTGAGTTTGTTAGGATCCAATCTAAAGCATGCACCTGGATAATGCAGATGAGTTTTGAATTCATATTTTGTAAAGTCATCTACTGTTCTGGAATCCCCTGTGAGATGTTAGTGCAATAAAATGGAAAGCTAGAATTTCAGCTGTTATTATAAAATTTCAGTTTTATAATCCAGGCTATTTAACCTAACCCCTTAAGGGGGCAAATTTTCAAAGAGTTGCATAAAAATTTATATTAAATATACCACACAGAATAAAGTTGCAGTGCAGATTTGTCCAGTGATTCAAAATCCTATATCCTACTGCTTTGAATTATAATTTCACTAGTAAATTTCATGGGACATGTTGGAGTGAGTAATGGAATAAAACTTGTATTTCTATGGCCTTGTACTCCTAATGATGCTCACAAATATTCACAAGGTAATCTCAGCGACCTCAAAGAGTAATGCTAGGGAGAATCAAATATTAACATCCCTGATCTAAGAATAAGAAATCAGGTGATGACAGCTAGGTGGTAACAGATGTCTGTCTTCTTAAGCTCATTATAAATCTTTGTTCAATGTCTATACCACCTACATAATGACATCCTGCTGTTCTGTATTTAGAGACTAGTTCATTGTTAGTATATTTAAGCACTGTCTCTCAACAGTACACAAAAAAAGTAGCAAATAGGATGGAGAATCAGGGGTTTGATCAATATGTAATTAACATCTAACAAAATGCCTTGCCTAATTCAAAGATGCCTTCAAATAAATATTGGTTGAATGAAAAGCTGTATAAATGGATCAAAATCGGGTTCTGTGCCCGGCCAGTGTGGCTCAGTGGTTGAGCGTCAACCCATGCACCAAGAAGTCACTAGTTCGATTCCCAGTCAGGGCACATGACCAGGTCATGGGCCAAATCCCCAGTGGGGAGCATGCAGGAGGTGGCCAATTAATGTTCTCTCCCATGGATGTTTCTATCTCTCTCTCTCCTCTCGCTTCCTCTCTCTCTAAAATCAATACAGAAAAAAAAATTTTTTTAATTGAATTCTGTCTTTTTAACTCAGCATCATTGTTGCTGCATTCCTCATTGACTAAAGTCATACTAATTTATTTAATTCTCATTTATTTGGCACATATGTTGTTTAATCTGCACAACTTTGCTTATGTCCATAAGCTTCTATAACAAGCCCAAGAAACCAATGTATAATTTGAAGAGAACAGAATTGATCCCAGGTCAAGATTTCAATTCCCAAGCCCTCAACATCACAGCACTTTGCTTGTTTGCTTTTCCTGGATTTAGTTTTGTTTGTTTGTTTGTTTGTTTGTTTGTTTGTTTGTTTTATCTAGTTATCACTCAGGAAGGTTAGGTTGGTCTTCTTTCAATTCTTTCCTTCTCTGTGATCCTCCCGCTCTATAGATGCCATACAACTCTGATCATTCTTTTAGAACTTCTTCCAATCAGTCTTAGCAAATGTGCTATATTTACTTGTTTAATATTTATTCTATATCTTATCTAAGAAGCATTTTATGAATAAACAATGATTGTATTCATAACTGGAATTAATATTATCTAATATTTATACTAGTATGTGAGGTCATTCTTTTACTACAACCATATTTTAAAATAATTGTAATTCACCATCTGGAACCCTTCATGCTTCAACTTTTTTCCTACCATAACCACTACCAAAAACAACACTTCTAAAACAGATGAAAAAAATATATACACACACATTTTATGTGCCCTAAATGTAAGCTTTTTATTAGAGATATCCATGCCTTGTTTATATTGTAATGATTCTGGTCAATATTAAGTATTCTGTCTCTCTGCATATTACAGTGTGCTATAACCCATTGCAATTGTAAATGACTTGGGAAGTTTAAAAAAAAAAAACAACAACAAGAAAAGAGGAGGAAAATTTTTAAATGTATACTATTCTTATTTTTTAAACACATATTGTGTTAAATATTTGGTCCTTTCAATTCACTCTTTAGGTTGCATGCTATATCAACTAAAGACCATGAGGTTCCTAAAAAACCTTTACTGTCATTTCTAATAAAATTACTAGGTTAAAATATGCAAGATCCCATAAAAGCCATAATTACATTCCTATTTGATGGTAAAAAAGACTCTCTTACTTCAAAAAACAATGAAAATCCAATAAAACAAAACAGCACAGCAGGAAGGTTAGCTCATTCAAGGCAGAAAGAACCCAGACTTGTAAAGGAGATAGAATGACAAACGTGTTGAAACATACTAAGATCAGAAGGTTAACACTTTTCTCCAGTGGAGACCATTTGTTTATCCCATACCACAAAC